CGGGGGTGGCGGGGCCACCACCTCCGCCTCGAGCAGCTCCCACTCTGGCGTTGAACTGAGCCCCAAAAGTTGCATGCCTCAGGTGATCCAGGAGGTGGCGTTGCCACCGCCTCCTGGGCAGCACCGAGTCCGTAGCACGATGCAGGACTGAATTGGACAATATCGTGTGCGACCTAATGCCCTGAAAAATTGTCCGCTCAAGCTCGCCGTGGCAACCAGCCTACGCTTTAAACCAGGGTGCCGGCCCATCCGCTATCGTTTGCCTGGTTTTGCTGGGGTCCATGGAGCACCGAGCTACCCCAAAAGCCAACTCTCTGTGGCAATCAAAATAGTCGCCGACCGAGGGCCGAGCGACCTGGAAACATTACTTACATAGGTTGCCACAAAGCTCCTCAACCGACCCGCCGGTGTCACCCTCGGGAGACGGACACCTACGCCTCGGACATCTTCCGCACAAGCTCCGCCGGCATCCAATAAGGACCGAAGTGCGGGAAACGTCTTCCGGCCACTTGTAGTCCGAGCTATGTTTGCACCCCCCGTGGGGCGGACGAACCGTGTCCCCCATGGGGACGCACATTGGTGCTTGACTGTCGGCACCAATGTTGACACAACACGTGGCTGCTGTCACACATCATGCTTGGGTCCATCATTCGCCGTCCCCTCATGATGGGACGGCTGACCCACATGAGTTGCCCCCCTCGGTCACAGTGCCACGAGGCAGAGGTGGCTGCCACAGGATATGCGCTACACGCATAACCCACCATTGCCAGGTGCCAACATCGAGCACCTATTTCAAGAATGGGAGAGCCCAAGCGCCCCATCCGATTCACAAGGGTTGTGCCTACCCTCAAAGGCATTAGCACTACACTGCTATCCTCCTCCTCGCTCTCGTCGTCCTGCTCCTCCTCCTCCTGTTCCTCCTGCCTCCCTCTTCGCCCCTATCCTTCTCATCCTTCTCCTCTTTCTCCTTCTCCTTGCACTTGTCCAGATCCCCTCACGATCTCCTCCGCGGGGGTGGGGCAGGACACTCCTGTTTTGCATCACAGCCAGTGGCCCCCATCAGATATGGTAGACTGCATCGAGCCCAGCTGTGGCCCCCGAACCAATCGAATCAGTCCATTCACCGGCAGGCGCACCTTCTGGAGGGGCGCGCCCAGAGGCGGCGGGAGGGCGAGCGCTGGAACTGGGCAGTGGCCAGTGGCCGAAAGGGGCGGGCGCGACTGGGCCGATGGCACGGCACACCCAATCAAGGCACGCCTCCCCTCCTCCTCCTCCTCCTCTCCTCCTCCTCCTCCTCCTCCTCCTCCTCCTCCTCCTCCTCCTCCTCCTCCTCTATTCCTTCTCCTGATTAGCAGCTTCTCCCCGGCGCACTCCAAGGCCAGCTTTTAGGGCGGGCCGGGCGTTTCGCCGGAGACTTCCTCACCACTCGTGACCCTGAAGCTTGAAAAGTGGCAACGGCTTCACAGATGGAGGGCGGGTCGTTTTCAAAATGGGACTCTCGCCTTAGCGCCGAGCGCATTCGTTTTTAACGTTTGTTAGAGCTTCACGGATTAAGGGCGGGCCGTTTTCAAAATGTGGTTCTCGCTTCAGCGCCGCGCGCATTCTTGTTTAACGTTTGCAAGAGCTTCACGGATTGAGGGCGGGCCGCTTTCAAAATGTGGCTCTCGCTTCAGCGCCGCGCGCATTCTTTTTTAACGCTTGCAAGAGCTTCACGGATTGAGGGCGGGCCGTTTTCAAACTGTGGCTCTCGCCTTAGCGCCGCGCAGATTACTTTTAACAGCTTGCAAGAGCTTCACGGAGTGAGGGCAGGGATTGAGGGCGGCTCCTTTTCAACATGTGGCTCTCGCCGTAGCGCCGCGCAGTCTTTATCTAAGAAATGCAAGAGCTTCACGGAGTCCCATGATCAGCGTACTAGAACTGGTGTTTTCGAGAGATTCTGGATCACGCGGGTGCAGCGAATATAATGGTTCGCGGTGCTGAGATCCCCCAAATGGTGTTCTGTCACGGTTCCGGATCGTCAAGACGCAGCAGTCAGTTTGATCCATCCGTGGCGTTGACATCCCGAGAGCAATGTTTTGGCATGCTTCGGGATCTTCAAACTGTTGTCTTTCGACGAGGCAGTTCCCTCAATGGAAATGAACCGTTGTAGGGGCCTATGAAGAGGGAGCTTGGAGGGAGGGCTAACTTCAATATAATTGATGACTCTTGGGTTTACACTGGTCCTCCACCTCCTCCTCCTCCTCCTCCTCCTCCTCCTCCTCCTCCTCCTCCTCTTCCTCCTCTACCGATTCCCCCACCATCCTCCTGGATCGGCGCCGGGACCCCCGCTGGCACCGCCAGCGGGGTCCCGGCGCCGATCCCGGAAATCCGCGGGGAGCTCCAAAAACTATATTCACCCATGCCGTATGTTGATGTTCGATCCTCCTCCTCCTCCTGCTCCTCCTCCTCTTCCTCCTCCTGCTCCTTCTCCTGCCCAATCTCTGTCATGCCGCTCGCCGACCGCAGCGGAGGCTGACCAGCCTCCCGAGACCCCGTCGGCGATGCGCCGGATCCCCACAGACTCTCGGCGGTGCCGTGCACGGAGGCGGCCGCCGCGCCAGCGTGGCCGCTTTCCACTTTTGCCTCTCGGGGCGGGGTCCCTGCTGCTCCTGGTCCCTGCTGCTCCTGGTCCCTGCTGCTCCTGCTCCTGCTGCTCCTCTTCCCCCCCCTCCTCCTCTTCCTCCTCCTCCTCCTCCTCCTCCTCTTCCTCCTCCTCCTCCTCCTCCTCCTCCTCCTCCTCCTCCTCCTCCTATCCCTCCTCCTATCCCTCCTCCTCCCCCTCCTCCGCCTCCTCCTCGTCCTCCTCCTCCTCCTCCTCCTCCTCCTCCTCCTCCTCCTCCTCCAAGTCCTCCTCTTCCTCCAAGTCCTCCCCTCCTCCTCCTCCTCCTCCTCCTCCTCCTCTCCTCCTCCTCCTCCTCCTCCATCATCATCATCATCCTCCTTCTGTTCCATCTGCTGCTCTTGCTCCTCTCCCTTCTCCGCCTCCTCCTCCTCCTTCTCCTCCTCCTCCTCCTCCTCCTCCTGCTGCTGCTGCTCCTCCTCCTCCTCCCCCTCCCTCTCTCTTTCTCTCGATCTCTCTTTCTCTCTCTCTCTCTCTCTCTCTTCTTTGAGTGCGGGCGTGTGTGTGTGTGTACTTTGCCTCGGGGGTGGTTGCACGGCCCGCTTGGTTAGCACATCCATTCAGGAAACACCTCCTCATCCTCTTTCTCAACATCCTTCTCCTCCTCCTCCTCCTCCTCCTCCTCTCCTCCTCCTCCTCCTCTTCCTCTCTCTCGTCCTCCTTCTCCACCTCCACCCCCCCTCCTCCTCCTCCTCCTGCTCCCTCCTCCTCCTCCTCCTCCTCCTCCTCCCTCCTCCTCCTCCTCACCCTCCCCCTCCCCCCCCTCCTCCTCCTCCTCTCCTCCTCCTCCTCCTCCTCCTCCTCCTCCTCCTCCTCCTCCTCCTCCTCCTCCTATCCCTTCTCCTCTTTCTCCTCCGCCTCATCCTCATCCTTCTCCGTCACCTCCCGATGTCCTCCGCGGCGGAGGGGGGGGATTCCTCTCGCTTCGCGGGGTGCACGTCCGGAGCACGTACAGTCACGTCGTCGCGGGGCCTCTTGGGAGCCTCTTGGGGGCCTCCTGGAGGCCTCCTGGGAGTTTCTTTTGGCCTCTTGGGGACTTCTTGGGGGCCTTTCCCCCCTCCGTCCTTTTCATACACCCTCCCCATCTTCCCTTCCAGCGCCGGCTCTAATCATGGGCGCCGCAGTGACCAACTTCCACTTGGCTGGCGCTGCGCCGTAGTTCGCCCAGAGGGGGGAAAATAACATTACACTCCAGTCGCTGTGTGGCCTTTGGAGGGCTTTTGGGGGGCCTTCTGGAGGCTGCTGGGAAGCTTCTTGGAGGCTTTTTCGGGGTCTCTTGGGGCCTCTTGGGGGCGTCTTCGGCCGTCTTGGGGCGCTTTTGCGCCGTTTCGCCCCCTCGGAGGCTGTCTTGGGGGCCTCTCGCGGCCGCATTGGAGCCCTCTTGGGGTCCTCTTGGGCCGACTTCGCGGCCTCTTGGACCGTCTTGGGGGCCTCTTTGGGCCGTTTTGGGGCCCTCCTGGGCCGTCTTGGAGCCCTCTTGGGTGTTTTTTGGGGCTGTTTTGGGGCGATTCTGGAAGCTGCTTGGGCCGTCATTGGGAGAACGCTAAAAGATTGCAAAAACCATGGGAACATAATGATTTCGGCCTCTGGAGGCGCAGTTGTAGCCGCTCTTGGGGCCCTCTTGGGCCGTCCTTGGAGCTTTTGAGGCCGTCTTGGGGCCGTCTTGGGGGCCTCATGGGTCCCCGCTGGGAATATCTTGGGCCGTATTGGGCCGTTTTGGGCCATCTTGAGGCCTTCGAGGAGCCCCCAGAGGCCCAAGAGGCCGAATGTGTTGATTTTCGCGGGTTTTTGTAGTCTTTTAGGGCCCCAGAAGGGGGGCGTCACTTTGGTCCGGCGGTGTGGCGCAGCTCCCAGGGGGGGTTAGGGGGGAGACATAATAACGTAACACAATACAACATGTGGCAAGTATGCAATCATTGGATAAATTGGATACGTTGCAGTAAGGCGTTCGCAAAAAAACGCTGCCGCTCAGCACGTCACCTCCAGACGTGGATCTTGTGTTTTGGCATCCACAGCCACGAATCCGAATCTTTTCAGGGAGTTTGTCTTGAGAGCTCACAATGTCCTGACCCCCGCCCGGCCCTCGCAAGCATGAGCCCGCCAACCGCCTCCCCTGTTCCGCTTCCAGGGAATCCGGGGAATCCGGAAATCGGGAGATGAATTTAACCAGCCTCGAACATATACCTATCCCTAAGATGGGCGAACAAAAAGCGAGGGCAATCTTAGGGATGTGCCCTGAGAAACTCAGGGAATCCTTAAGATCGGCATCGAGGTGAGGTGATGACAAACTCAGGGACAAAGATTTGTTTCAAACTGGTAAGAATTCCAAACCGGCACCCTCGAGTGGGACTTCTTCAGAAAACAAGGCCCCCGAGCCCCCCCAAGGACGCCCTCAGAGGGCCCCTTGTTCCATCTCCGGGAAATCTGGGCAATTCGGGAAATCTGGCGACGAATTCCAAACTAGCGCCCTCGAGTGGAACGTCCTCAATAAACTGTCCCCCGAGCCTCCCCAAGGAGGCCCTCAGAAGCTCCCTTGCTCCGTTTCCAGGAACTCCGGGACATCTGGCGACGAAATCTAAGCAGGCGCCCTTGCGTGGGATATCCTGAGAAAGCCGGCCCCCCAAATTGGGTGGGATCTCCTGAGGAACGAGGAGGAGGAGGAGGAGGAGAAGACGATGAGGAGGAGGAGGAGGAGGAGGGGGAGGAGGAATGAGGAAGTGGAGGAGGAGGAGGAGGAGGAAGAGGAGGAGGAGGAGGAGGAGGAGGAGGGGAGGAGGATGGGAGGGAGGGAGGAGGAGGAGGAGGAGAGGGAGGGAGGAGGAGGAGGAGGAGGAAGAAGAGGAGGATATCCCTGAGGCCCTCAGACGCGCGCAGGGGCGCGCCGGGGCGCGTCGGGTTGTGTTCAGTCCAGGTCGACCTCGCTCGAGACATCCTCCTCCTCCTCCGCAAGACAACAGCCCTCGCGCGCGAGGAAGGCAGGCCCAACAGCGCGGGACCCTTTCTGGGCGCGCCGGGGCGCGCGGGGCGCGTCTCAGCCCCAGGTCTCTCGCTCGAGGCGTTCTCCCAGAGTCGACTCCCGGCGCGCGAGACAGGCAGGCCCCACCGCGCACCGACGGACCAGTGCCAGGGATCTGCCCGCGCGCGCCGCGGCGCGCCGGGCGTGTGCCAGTCCGGGGTGCGGGCGCGAGACAGCCGCGCAGAAGTCGACCCAGGCGTGTCAAAATCTGAGGCTCCCGCTCGAAATACCCTCGCAGAGTCGCCCCCCGAGGGAGACCCCCGAGGCTGATGACGAGGAAGAGCAGGACGAAAAACGTAGGAGGACGCAAGAGGGCAGCAGGAGGGAGGAGAGGAGGAGGAGGAGAAGGAGGAGGAGTAGGAGGAGGAGGAGGAGGAAACGAGGCAGGAGGGGAAGGAGAAGGAGGAGGTGAGTTGCAGGAGGTGGAGTAGGAGGACCAGAAGGAGGCAGAGGAGAAAGAGGAGGTGGAGGAGGGATAAGGAGGAGGATCAGGAGGACTCTGATGATGATGCTGCTGATGATGATGATGCTGATGATGATGATGATGATGGTGATGATGACAACGATGAGGAGGAGGATGGGGAGGAAGAGGAGGCGGGGGAGGAGGAACGACCTCCAGGGACCTCACGAGATTTCCTGGGAGGATATGGAGGAGAAGGTGGAGGCTGCCAGCACGGGAGTGGGAGGGGCTGGATGCCACCGCCTCCCGCTCATTCTCTCCTGGCCCAAAAGCACACGCACCCTCCTCCATAGACAGAAACTCCCGATCAGCCGCAGAGCGGCCGGCCAGCACAGAGCGAACAGGGTCGAGCCCTGCTGTGACCCCTGATCTCTTGGGATATAGGAAACATCTGCGAGGCCTCGGCTAATTTTTTCTCCGCGGTCTGGCGTCGCGTTGCGGGATTCCCTGGGGCTGGCCTTTCATCTGGTCGTTTTTGACGGTCCATGGGGACCCTGCGAAGACCTCCTGAGGCCGAAATCGTCGAAGAGCCTCAACGAGCTTGTTTCGCAACTATCCTGTGGCGTTGGGTCCTCGCTTTGAAGAGACAGTGCCCCGCGTTCCTCTCCTCTCCTCCTCCTCCTCCTCCTCCTCCTCCTCTTCCTCCTCCTCCCCCTCCCTCCTCCAATCATCATCATCATCATCATCATCATCATCATCATCATCATCATCATCATCATCATCATCATCATCATCATCATCATCATCAGCATCATCATCATCATCATCGTCGTCGTCATCAGCATCAGCATCAGCATCAGCATCATCATCATCAGCATCATCATCATCATCATCCTCATTATCATCCTCATCATCATCCTCATCATCGTCATCATCATCAGCACCATCGTCATCTCAATCATGATCATCAACATCATCATCACCATCACCACCACCATCATCATCAGCAGCATCCTCATCATCGTCACCAGCATCATCGTCATCAGCATCATCATAATCATCATCATCGACCGCATCATCATCATCATCATCATCACCATCATCAGCAGCATCATAATCATAATCATAATCGTCATCATCATCATCATCATCATCATCATCCTCGTCATCAGCATCATCACCACCATCATCAATCTGATCATCATTACCATCATCATCAGTATCCTCGTCATCCTCATCATCATCGTCGTCGCAATCATCATCGATCTCATCGTCATCATCATCATCACCATCCTGATCATCATCATCATCATCATCATCATCATCACCATCATCATCATCATCACCATCATCATCAGCATCATCATCATCATCATCAGGATCATTATCATCATCATGATCATCATACTTAGCATCCTCATCATCATAATTACCATCATCGTCATCATCATCATCATCAACCTCATCAACATCATAATCAGAAGCACCATCTTCAACATCGTCATCATCATCATCATCATCATCATCATCGTCATCGTCATCATCATCAT